CAGTATTTCTTTTAGGGGAAAAAAATGGATGCTTGTATATTTTTGCCATTTTACAGTATCGTGACATTTAAGAAAATGAGCATTAGATGGATTTTATATTTTGTGTTACAAATGGCATTTGGAAACGTCTGCAAATGCTGTTCGTGATTTATAATGATGAAAGGAGTGCATTATTTAGGTTGTATTGTATAATGCTGACGCTAGGTTATGGATAAGAAATACTAAGCTGACCGTAAAGAATAAAACAGAAAATGCAGAATGGAAAGGTCTGCTTTATAATTCTTTATAATTCTTTAATTTGTTTGTATTGCCGCTAATCCCGTGCTGACTCTTTTCATAATTAATAATCACATCTTCAGAGTGAATAGGAGTGTTAGAGTCAGTGTTTGTCTGCATACATATTGTAACGGCAGACAGTACTGCTAGCTTGGCAGAGCAACAGCGTGTATAAAGAAAATGTAAGGGAAGTATAGTGGATTGTAAAAGTTGTGGAGTCCAAGCTGAAAGGTAGCTGTCCCTGTCTGAAGTGATGGGAAATCCATCCATATATGCAGCCCTGCAAGGCAGATTTTGGAGCTGGATAGATCCCCTGCTGTGCAGTTCTTATGAAAGGCAGGTTTCGAGTTATGTTTCTGCCTTGTAACTTTTAAATTGTGCAGTCCTGGTTTTCTGACTTCTGTTGGTCAGCTCCACGGTGCAGCAGCACTAGACCTCAGTGCTACCTAGCACGATCTAATTGTTCTTCAGTCTCACTTAGGACACAAATAAATGCCCACAGTTTAGAAAACATCTCCCTGTACATCTTGAAAAATTCCTGTTTTACCGATGCATGCTGCCATTTGTTATAAAGGATGTTGGAGAGCTTCCTAGATGGTGCATATCTGCTATTGTGCCACTGTTGCAATTTGGTTTGCAAACCAGTTGAAGAAATTAACTGGTTCCTAGCTATATGTTTGTATAAAGATACTAATGATGCTAGTGTCAAGTAGAGAGATAAGAAGTCAAATAGATAGGTAGAAGTCCTAGGTTGAATCAGTGAAATATTGGCATTATTAAAATTTGAAAATAAATATGTGCCTTACTGAGTTGTGGCTACTGTGGCCAACAAGAAGGTAATACAGGTCTTGAGTGTGAACATATAAATGAGCTCAGCTGCTGCTCTCACAAGGAAGAAACATGTATAATAAATGTAAGACAAAATAAGCAACAAACAAACAAACCAAAAGAAGTTTATAGGATATAGATAACAGTATACAAAGTTTTAGGTACTATGTAATGATACTATGTAGTTTCTCTATTCTAAACCCTTTCCCAGTTCTTTAGCCCAATTTTCTTCATATTTAAAACTGAAAATATACACCAGTGCTATTGTAGGGTGGCTGGAAGTGTGTTATGTCTTTTTAAATAGGGACCACTAGTAGTAATTTCTAACTTTGGACCTAGTTAAGTTTTCTTTCTGAATAGTTAAAGGAGAACTACTTCACTGTCAGTAAACTAGTATTGGTATAGGTATTTGTCTTTATGCTTGTAGTGTTAAAGTGAACCATTTATCCATTTATTTTTCAATATCAACACAGAGAAAAATATGGCATCGTCCTTCTAATATGCTATTCAGATCCCTACATGCATGAAAATACTGCTGAAGTTGAGAGAGCCGTCGTGCTACTGTTTCATTATGCACTGTGGAAGTGGCTAAGGCTGCGGGCTCACCCTCATGAGCTGTGTTCATTGAGCTTGAACAGCAGCCAGAACAAGTTTCACATATGTTAGCGCACCGACAGAGAAAGATAAAACTCCAAAGTCAAGTAACCACTAAAATTTATAGCCATGCAAACCGAGAGGAAGGAGATTTAAATTCACTCTTAAAATGCCCCATATTTGGTTGTAATATTTAATTTCAGAGGACAACATTGCAAGTGGCCGGGTGTACGATAATGAATTCTTACACTGTGCAGGCTGGAGCAATAAAGCACTTTGGAATTGCACTTTGCAAATAGGAGAAGGTCAGCTTCTTGAGTGCTGTAGCACATGAGTACTACAGTGTCATATAAAATGTCTTTGCTAGAAACACTGCTTTGATGGACTACTCAAATGGTCTTAGCAGGAATTAAAGATATATGTCCATTACCTGCACTAGCTTTGTAATGGGGAGTAAACCTCTGGTAAGCAGAGATAAGAAACAGCTGTTCTCAGCTCTTGGACTTGGTCCAGGAGTAAAATGATTATTCTCTTTGCATAGCTGTGAAAAAGTACCACATATTTCCTCAACTCAAATTTATGCAAGGCTAGAATCATCCAGGAAAGCAAAAAGTGTATTATAGACAGCTTCACAACAATCTCTTGAAGGAACACTAAATCCAATTATGCAGAACATCACAGAACTGTGTGTTATTTCTAAAGCACTTGGTTCTCATGAAAGCAAAGTATTTCTTCCTCTTTTAATATATCAAGAACACTATCGTATGTAAGATTCTGCGATAATAAGTTTTGACTGCAGAGCTCTTACCCAGATTAATTCAGGAGCAAAGGAAAAAGTATATCTTCCGAAAAATATGCAACAACCTATTCTATCCTTTTTTTTTTTAATTAAAAGGAAATCTTAAAATGTAAGAACTGTAGTTTGCTGATATTCTCTTTAGGAATATTAATCATTATTTGGGGAAAAAGATATGGAAGAAGGTCCATTTTTAGTTAATAGTGAGATAGGTTTTGCTCTAGAAAATTTTAACTTAGTATTCAAATCAGTCCTCAGATAATGCCAGTTTGTAAGGGTAAAGGGTAAAAAAGAGTAAAGCATTGCCACGATTGCCACTAAGTAGGTCTTTTAAACATATTGATGGGGCACATATTAGCACACAGATTAGTGTTATTTAACAACAGTTTGTAGAGAAACCATTGAGCCACTGATAATGTAAGATTTAATTGTAGCCTGTATCTAGCTCCTTGGCTTCAGGTTCCTGTCCCATTTTAGGCCATGGAGAATATTGGAGCAGTCATCAAGATTACATTTGCACCAACTTATGTTCTTACCAGCAGCCAGGATAATTAAGCATCACGGACAAGAAATTTAGATTAAACATTCTCTATACTGCAGCAAAGAGGAGGATGTGCTTCCTTGTTTTGTTCTAGTTAACATCCAAACCTTTCATGTTTTTAAATACTTTTTGCAGTTGTGTACATTATGTCACAGGTTTCATCTTTACATCATTTGAGGCTACATGTCGCCCTCAGAACCTGAGCAACGGTGCTATTTGCACTTACTGCTAGCACTATAGTTCAGCTATATAATGTATGAACAGAGAGCAAAATGGCAGTTCCTGTCCAAAGAAGAGATATTTTATCCTGTATAACTTATGTGTGTATTCAAATATTTGTATTTGAAAATATACACAGTTCTGTGCTTCTGCATATATGGGTTATGGCACAGTCTTCAGTGGCATTAGAGTCTCCTATTTTCCCCTGATAGCTAATATTCCCATGGGAAAATGCAAATTCCGTATTTATTGCTTATGTTGAGATTAGCTGTTTCCATGGCTGAACCATTCAAATATAATTCCTCTTTTCTTCTTTAAAGGCTGCAGAAATGTGAGCAATAGGAGGGTGGCCCAGGGCAGCCTGGGGCTGAGGACGCCACCAGCAGATGCTGCAGTAGCCTTTCCAGGACTCTTAGGCCACCAGTGATGTGAAACTTCATTACCAAATTCAGAGTGCTCCCAGACACAGGGCTTCCTTCCCCTGCCTTCTCAGCATTGCCTGGAGCCCCCTGGCAACGCGTTGCCCCATTCCCCCATTTCTGGTTGCCTTTTCAGAATATCTGAGGTGGCTCCAGGTTACTCCTCTGCTGCTATCTGGGTGGGCTCCCTCACCTCCTTCCAGTCTTTCTTCAGAGTCCATGTGTATGCAAGTCAACCAAAATACAGAGAGCTGATATAGCTATTTTTATAAACACACTTCATTTTTTTCCTCCACCTCTTGTTGCCAGTGTTTCCAGATGGAAGCAATCAGGGAAGAGGAAATATCTCTCTGCATATTGACTTCTGTGAATGTGGTCCAAATTGTACCAGACATTTGTGCTGGAACAAATTGTAAGAAATTGCAGGTATTGGTTAATTTTATTTGTAAATATAGTGATTTCTTGGTTTTCTTGAAGCACCTGCAGCTTGGGATTGGCGTTTTTGGAGTATATTTTGTGTGTGTGAGAGAGAAAATACTCTGCACCAAGTGAGCCATACAGCTCCTTGAGTCTAGGTAAAAATTATTTTCCATTGTGAACAGCAGGGGTCATTAAAAAGAAGGGTTACACTGGATGAAGCAAACAGTCATTTTTTTTTCCAGCTTCATCTTCCAATATAAAGAAGTGACTATATTAAAAAAAGAAAATCCTTGTTCCTATTGTCCTTGAAAGATAACAAACTCAATAAAAAGTGAGTTTTCTGCTTATGGCCTGGACTATAAGACAGCTCTACCTCTGATAAATTCGCGTTATTTGAAATTGTTTGGCCTACGGTGGGTTTTATATTAAACTTTGTTACAAAAGATTTGCCATACCTTGTGAGTTGATGTTGACATGTTAACACTGTGATAGTCAAAAGTGAGTAGTGTCATACCCTCCTATTCTAATGTGGATTTATTTATTTATTTTGTGATCACAGTGATATTTTCTGCTATTACTGGAAGCCAATAAAACGATTCAGATTGGTGGAAATAAGAGTGATTTTTTTCCCTTCTATTTGGAGCAAATAAACAAGAGAATAAACAACATTCTGGGCTGGCATCTCATTTTATAGCTTCCCTCAAAATGTAAAGAAGAGTGTAATTTTGTTCTTAGAAGGATGAAAAACGCTGATGAAACAGGGTAAGAAATTGAAGAAAACCCAGTCAAAAGCATTAGCAGGAGGAACCCTATAAGAAAGCACACCAGAAAGATATATAGCTTGTTCTGCTTCTTATCTGTCCTTCAAGTTTAGTAGTTGAAGAATTTTTTGCATTTATCTTTGCAGACGAATGAGTTCAATTTCACTCAGATTAGGACTGAAATTTCCGAACAGCAGGTTAATCCTTCCTGCCTTCACAGACAACTGAGCAAACAGGCCTGTATCAGCGTGGCCGAGTGTAAAATTGTAATTCCAGAGATTAATGTTGTCTCTCCTGTTTGCTCTGAACCTGACCTCCACATTTCTCTTCCAGGTATGCTGGCATGCCTGCACGTTCACGTGCAGTTCCTTATTCATCTGTTTGTTTGTTTGTTTGTTGTTGACAGCTTCTGTCCAAGGCCCCTGGGAGAGGGCGATCTCGCCAAACAAAGTGCCGTACTACATCAAGTGAGTATCGGTTGTAATTCATTCTGGGTATTTATAGCTGTCATTAAAGTGCATGGTTGGTAATTTTCTTAGATTGGCTGGACCTATTCTTGTGTTGTCTGAGTACGATGAACAAAAGGAGTGAAATGTGCAGTAAACGTCACAGGAAAAAATGTATGTTATGTCCTTTAAAAGCACAGTGGGATGCACTGCTTTGTGAGAAAGTTGATTCATTTTATGCCTCTGTAGCAGTCACCTGCAAACTGAAGTCAAGCTTTGGGGTATTTGGATTATATCTGAGTCTGATCCGTTGTCCACGTAGGATTACATATGGCAGGATCTGCAAGACTGAAAAACATTCAGAATGTTGGTATTTATTTGTGGAATTTTCATGTTTAAAAGCAGAGACATGTTGCAGCTGTGAATTTGGTGCACTGCTGTTTTGACCTTGCAGTGCACATCCTTTAAACAGTGAGTTCCTGTAGAGAGGGTACATAGCAAAATCTCTTGCTGAGGAAAAACAAGGGACAAATTAATCCCTATAGGCTGTAAGTTCCTTTAAACTCTAGTTCCCAAAGTAAACTTACTAGTTTTAAGTGACGTATGCTTAACAATGAGAGGAAATTAAACAAGCAAACAAAAAACCTTGGATGCACCTGCTTCTAGCGTCCTAAAAAGACCCACCACATAATAACAGAGAATGAATTTTAATACATTTTTCCCTCTTGCTGTCGATCATCATTTGCAACATGTGCCATGAATTATTCATACGTAACTTCCTGGAGAAATAGGTGATGCACTACCTGTGATAAAAACTGTAGTGCAAATAACTGGAACTCAGGAGTCTTTTAACAGACATACTCACATGATTGCTCTTTTCATTTTCCCAGCACACTTCTCCAGCTCAACCAGTGGCATTCAAACCATGTGGTTACAGTGGCAATTCAACTGCAATTTTCACAGCCTAGTTGAACCGCTGTTATAGCCACAGAATGGACTTTATTGACTAAACATGAAGAAAACTAGCAGTCTGTAGTACTACACAGTGCTATAGATACACCTGGTTGGAGCTTCTCTGGCATCGCCTTAAGTTTTTTTTTTCCTTTTTTTTTATTTGGCTATGAATAACTAACCTGCCATAAAGAGCTGGAAAGCTCTTTTAAGCAGGAGGAGAGAGGGAAGTCTACAGAGTGGAAGCAACTTAAAGCTGTGGTGTATGAGAGACAATTCATGGTACAACAGCTAAAGGAAAGACACCTCTTTTTCCCATGGCATGGCTTGCTGTGGTGGTGGGAGAAGTCTTGGCAATTCTCAAGATAGGTCCAAGCTCCGTTTCATACCGCGCTTCCCTCTTCGTCCGGTGCTAGTTGCATCCAGCAACAGTGGGCAGGTTGACCTGTCATTCTAAAATGATGGGGAGGACTCTTCCTTATTATTTTTGGTGTCAACTTTGTAATACATTTTTTTTTCCAGGCCATTTGCAAATTTAAAGGAATGCATTGGTTTTATTCTGTTCACTTGGAAAATATCTTAATAGCCATAAGAAGTTGCAACAGTACTATTTTAATTAATAATTAAAGTTTAATTCAGTTACAAGTTTTATACAAAAGCTTACTGTCTTTGAGATGAAAAACAAATATTTTAAAAATGTATGAGTCTTTGCAAGTTTTTACATCTTTACATTCCCTTCTCCAGTTCTCTTCAGTCTCTTTTCTTATCCTTTATCCTAATCACTCTTGTTTTGTACTAACACACAACTGAATTGCTTGTTTTCTGTACCATTTCAGTTTTCAAGCATACCATATTTTCTTTATTCTTTGATCTCTTACCTTTCTATAAATCGTTAATTCTGTAACAGAGCTGCCATGAAGACTGGGCAGACACAGATAGCATTCTCTTACTGTGTGTGTAATTTTCCCTTCTATCATCAAGGCAGAATATTGGTGCTAGCCTCTTGTGTTAACCAGATTTGCCACACTGGTTATTGTTTTTCATTTTATCTGGTTTTCTTGTGATGTTTAAGTGTTTTATCTCATCATTTTCACATTTGCAATGAAACAGCATTTCATAAGCCCATAAATCAGGTCCTACTTAATACTAAATCCTCAACGGCAATATTTGCTTACTGCTGGGTAACTTTCAGCCTTTCGATTTTCCTGGTTAATATTTCATTTTTATACAGCTGATTAATGTGCAGCGACTAGTTACCTCAGAAGCCTGTATTCCCCCAATTCCTCCTCCAAGTTATTCACGCCAGCGTTTTGTGCACATTATGCTGGTGCAGGCGTCATTGCTACCAAAAAAGATAATCAGCAACGTGCAACCTGTCCCAACTGCTCTTCCACGTCCCCGCCATTTTGTAGCTTCTCCGCCAACTGTTGGCCTCACGCAAATGGCCGTGTTAACGGCCTGGCACCAACTGCCGCGTTCGGGCAGGATTTCTCCTACTCTTTTATGTGGTTACTTCCTCATGGAAATGGCAAGCTAGGCCAACAGCTTGGGCTCGCTCTCCTATTTCCCCGATGGGCTGGGACATGGTGTTGTTGCGTTGCAGGATATCAGCAGTGTCTGGGCTTCCTGAGTGGCAAGTGGACATTCCTGGCTGCTTGCTGAGCACTTGCCCAGTGTATGAGGTGCTAGTGAGGGGGGGGAAATAAAGAAGAACCTCTCTTTCTCTCTTTTGCCTCTGAAACAAAACATGTAAAATTGTTCCAAAACACACTCTGCCCGACCCTTTTCTTTTTGATCTTTCTTTCCCTCTCAGTATGTTCTTTGCATCTAATAAAGGATTAAAAGGTTTCACTAGATTAAAAAGGAAGAGGAAAAATGAAAAGTAGTTTTCAGTTTAATCACTCCCGTTCTTTGAGGCCCTGATCTTGGAGGCCGTATTGCAGTGTGGCCTGGAAAATGGGGACACAGAAGCATACAGATACATCTATGCTCCTCACTACTTTTATATAAAAAGAAGAAAAGTAAAAACACAGAGCTTGTGAGAAAAGTCATCTCATGCATGCACACAGACATACACAGGCAAACTCTTCTCCTTAAATCAAATGGAGAGGGATGATGCTCCAAAGCAGTTACAGCAAAACCAAATGGCTCCTGCGGATTTTGCAGCCACAAAAGAGACATTCAGTCATCCTGCCCAGACCCATTTCCTCTTCTCTGAGTGGCCTCCTGGGACCCATGAGGGAGCTGTGTTCTGAACCAGGTTTGCCTGTGCCTTGTGTAAGGGCTCATCCTAGGATCACCAAAGAGCTGGCCAATTGCACAGTGCTAAGAGATCCCCCTTGCCTCGGAGGAAGGAGGGAAGTCTGCAACATGCTTTTTTCTGGGGAAATTGGTAGTCACGGTCTGGCACATTGTTGAAATTTAGTCGTTTTGAGTTCTATATTTGTCTTAGTCTTTCATATCATCCTTCCTCTGTTAGCCAAGTTGCCAGTTAATAGTGTCTGTCTCCTCACCCTCTTGCCATGGCCTCTCTCAAAGGATATGAAATGCGTCTGCAAGAATACAGCAGTCTTTCATCTCAGTCCTTCTCGCAGAGGAAGCCTTCCAAGTTATTTCCCAGGCAAGCTTATTTTCTTATCCACATTATAGCAGTTCAGTGAACTTTGTCCTGCGGGGGACACAGCTGAATTCTCGGGAGCATCGATTTGACTCCTTGAGAAGATCCATATGAGACTATCCATATAAATTAGCCGTGTGGTGAGCTAAAGGCGAGAAATATTCGTCTCTGCTTTTTAGCTGTCTTCCACATTATAGTTTCCTTTAAGAGTATTTCACTTATATTGAATCAGCCAGCTGCTGACACACGTTTTGGTTAGTTTTATATTCTGCAGCCTTTCTGTGCTCTTCACTAGAGGCAGAGTGGGCCAGTTTCTATGAACATGCTTCCTTGTGTCTTAATTTTTGATCTCACTTTTAATTGCTGTTTAGCCATGCAGAATTCCAGCTCAGAAATAGCTAAGAGTCTGGAGTTTTTGTTGTGAAAGAAAACAGATTAAAGCCATGATGCTTTTACTGTTTTTCAGTTTAGAGGAATGGTACATTAATCTCTCTGAATTAAATTCTACTAAGATAAAATAAAGTGTTGCTGCTCTGCTAAAATCATTTGGGTTAATTGTTTCTTCTGCACAACATAGATAAGTAGGAGACTCAAAAGGAAGTAGGAAATATCTACCAGAGCAGAAGGAGACATGGAGAACCATAAATAAGTAATGTATGATTATGTATGTGTAGTGAATAAAGCTGTGAACAAGCTATGCAAACCATGTATATGGCTGACGGTTAACCTAACTACCAAGTACCAAAAATGTAGTATTTTGACTTCGTAAAAGCATAGCTATTACAATCTTTTCCACTCTTTCAATTTTGAACTCCATAGCAAAACTGTAACTATTCTTGTGGAAAAAATATATATAATACTGCTTTTAAGAGATGCAAATTATCATGCTGTGTAGCTTTAGGAAAAAAAAAAAGAATTAAATACCTGATATTTTGAAGAGGTTTGCCTGTCACTTGTACAACTGGTATTGGTTACCAAAACTTGTTACAAAAATTTCAGCTCTGAGCATAAATAAAGAATCTGGAGCCTCTGTCTGCCTTTCAGAGAGAAGTGGAGGTGGAAGCAGGTGTGTTCCACTGGGATGAGCAGCAGCACCCCGGGGTGCTGCTCTGCACCGTCTGTCAGCAGGGGGTGGCAGCCCCCACGTGGGAAGGAACTGAGGGAGATTTGATTTGTTTTGAAAGGAATCATAAGTCCTCAACAGTCATGTTACTTGTGCATGTATTTGGTTATGCCCCAGGGGGTTGTTGCAGAGGTTGGGTACAAGAGCTGTAGCCACTAGTGCTGGAAGGGCAATAACTGGCTGAAACCGCTTGCATTTCTTTGCAAGGCTTCTTTGGTAACAGGAGGTTAGATAGTTCTTATTTTACACGTCAGAAAGCAGCTTCCTCATGCACTTCACCTTGGTCCTGTTCTCGATGGTCTCGATATTCTACTTAAGGGGATGACATAT